CCCAAATATCCCCAATTCCTCCTCATATGGTTGGTCTCTGGCCCCCTTCCTTCACCCCCGAACACTTTGAACAGACTACTAGAATACCATGGAATTCTCTGTCATAATTACGTGTTTTACATCTTTTTCCTCCACCAGACTGAGTTATGTGTGGGTAGGAATTGTGTCCAGTCATCTCTGAGTTCCGGAGCCACAAAGAGTCTGGGCAGAGAGCAGAGTGCCTCGGTCACCGAATGCCCCTGGAACTGACTTTCCCGTGGGAGGAATGGGTGTTCGTGTAGGTTAGGAAGGAAAGTGGTTCTTCTAGAAAGAGGGGTCCCTCCTGCCAGAAAACCATCCATCTTTGTCTCCTGGATCTTTTCTTTGTCAGAAGTTCTCTGACCATCAGGAGCAGTGGAAACAGAACCCCTATTCTAGGGGAAATGGCTGCCTTTGGGCATCAGGAAGGGGTTTAGGGAGGTCTTGTATGCCATCTAGGAACAGGGGGCCACCAAAGGACTTTAATCAAGGGTATGTAAATTACAGTCAGGTAATCTAGAAAGACCATCAGATGGCCATGCGGGGGCCAGGCTGAGGCTGAAGACCGCAAAGCCAGTAAGGAACCAGTGGAGAGGCTTGGGTCCAGGATGGGGCCGGTGAGGGCTTGGACGGTGCCGTGGGGCTAGAGAGGAGGGGCCCAAGGCCATCCTATTCATTCCTTCTCTCCCGATCCCCTCAGCTGTGCAGCTGAGACTTCCTCCCTGGTGGCCTTCATCCCTGGCATCTCATTCTTCTCTGTCTTATCTGAGAGCCCCAGAATGCCTCTAAATCAGGAGAGAACGATGCTGTCTCCTTGCCCCATAGAATCCTTGGGAGTTACATCTTTGTCAGCACTTCTGCTTCCAGCTCCCATCGGATCGGTTAATGTTTCTTTTATGAAGCGAGGACACCTGATTTCTGTCAGTGCAGGGCTTAAGACTGCCTCGTCAGCACTGTCTTCCTGGCTGGCCATATCAAATAGACAGAGCAAGAAAGCAACTGAACCGGTGATCAGATTCCAAGGCGATGATGCCAGGCCTACATGCTGCTTGTGAGAGCGGAGCTCAACAGAACTAAGGGGTCCCATGGAGGGAAGATGATAAGTTACAGCCGGCTGGGGCTGGTGTTTAGCTGGTGTGGGGAAAGTGGAGGGCCAGATGCTGGTTACTTGGCCATTGAGACAAGCCCCTTCCTTGGTCTGGTCTCAATTTCTCATCTTTAAGGAGTCAGTGATCATGGAATCCAGGCTCTTCTAAGTCTGAACTAAGGGATGCCAGGGCTCTCTTCATTGTTACAATCTATGACAGCCCCAAGAGCTAACACAATCCTGTTCTGCCCGGAAAATCCTCCCTCCCTCTCTTCTTTTCTCTGTCTCTCTCTTTTATTTACCAAATAAATCATTCATTCAGCAGGTCTCCTCTAAGCCCCTACTCTGTGCCAGGCCCTGCGTTCAGAGCTATGGATCCAAAGATGAGTAAGAGATGTTTTGACTTTTAAGGAGATTATCATCTAGAGAGAGATTTACAAACAGAAGCAGATAATCATCGTCAGTGACAAAGTCAGGAACGAGGTGAAGAGGGTTACAAAGACCAGAGTTACTACCGAAGGATTCTGTTTCATTCATCCTCCAGGTATCTGGCATTTTTCCTGGAATACAGATTAGGTCCTCAATAAATGAATGAAGTGACATGTTAGCTGGACCTGTAGGATGAGTCAGTGTTTCCCAGGTAGAGAAGGTAAGGGGAGAGCATTCCAAATACAGGGAACGGTATGGGTCAAGACCGGAATGTATGAAAGAGATTGGCTGACCCTGAAAATAAGCAGTTCTACGTCCCTGACCCACAGGGCCCTGTAGAGACCTCTGAGGAGAAGAGCTTGGAGAATTAGATAGAAGGGGCACTGTAGACAATCTTTAGTGCCACAGCAGAGGACTTGGGCTTGGTCTGTGGCAGTGAGGAACCATTAGAGGTGCATGATAACAACTTTTGAAAGATTATTCTGGGCTTGCTGCAGGGGGACTGGGGCAGAAAATGCCCCAGGTAGAGAGGCTGGTGAGAAGACCTTCTCCACACTGGTGCTACTCTTGGCTTAAAGCCCACAGGATGAACATGGCAGCTTTAAATCTGGATTCTTCTCCACTTTAACAGACTAGGTTGAATCACTGACTTCTGGAGACCCTGATGAGGGAGAAGCAGATCATTTGGGGGACACTTTGACCTAATATCCCTGCAGACTGAATAACATAGGAACTCAATTAACATCAGGTTAGAGACCAGAGAAAACACAAAAGCACTAACCATTTGAAATTCCCTGACTCACCCTTCCCCAACCTCTCCTAATCTAGAGCTGATTAATTAACAAGAAGCATATCCTCTCCTTCACTGACATGTAAAATGTAAAAATTCATGTTGCAATTTGGCTAAAGACAAATAGAAGCAATCAGATACTGCCAACCTCATAGAGTAGCACTGACTTGTTTAATCTCTGAGGTGGTTGGTGTGGGGAGCTGAGGACTAGACAGAGGGGATGATCTGGCTGAGGTTCCTCAGCAAGTTAGTACCTGAAGCAAGATCAGAACCTGGGCCTTCCGGCTGCCAGGCAAATGGTTTCCCCAGAGTGACACAAGACCTCTGCCTGCATCACCAAAGAAGAGTTGAATCAGTTGTGTCTGCTTTGAATCAATTGTGTCTTCCTAAGCAGATATGGTCAGGCTTTTAGAGACAATGAAGCCTACGTTTCCCTAGAGGTTCAGCCTCCCAAGGCTTCACCATTAGGCTGACTCATTTCCTGTAAGTAGGGTCACTTCCCTGTTTAAAAACCTTGGCTGTCCACAGGGGAAGCTCCATCTACTTAGAGGCATCCGAGGCCTTTCATCTTCATGTCTTTCCTTTCTCTCCAGCTTCATCTCTCACTTTTTCTCAAATGCATTCCGAGCAGGACCACAGTGGTCCTCAACCTAGGCAACATTTTATCATGTGGGGAACTTTTAACAAAAAAGACTGTGGTTCAGACCATAGCTCCAGGAATGTGAGGAGTGGATCTAAGACATCTGTATGGTTTCTATTAACCTATGAACAACCAGAGTGAGAACCACTGTTCACCCAAGCTAACTACTGTCTGTAATCCAAACCTGTCTCACCCTCTCTGGGGCTTTGGGCAAGGATTCCTTATTCTGCCGTGGCTCTCCTTCCAAACCACCAACGTGAACCTCTCCTTTTGCTATGAACCTCTGCACACACTTTGCACATCACCACAGCATTTGCATTCCTTTCGTGTCTTTTGTGTGCCCTAAGGATCCTGTGGCCACTTTGAGGAAGATGCTGTTCTATTTATCTGTTTTCTTCCTTGTCAAAATTACAGGACCAGGCATATAGTAGGTGTTTAGTAAACCACTGTGGTCTAAATAAGATTTTCTGAGCCCCAGAATGACCTCTGTGTAGAAAGCCACTCCTGTTCCTAGGATGTTGAGTCTCATGGGATAGAGCTTCATTCTGAGTGATCCCCAGGGTGCTGTGTCCTAGCAATTGGTCTTTTACATCTTCTGTCTCCAAGGAAGGGGAATAATCAAAGAACTTCTACTCACTTCCTACTGAAAATGAAAGGGTATCTCACCTTTATGTGACTTAAAAAAAAAAGACATGAGATTATTTAGACACAGACCTTGGTTGGAGATGTATTCCACTTACTAAGTGTATGACAAATTACAGAGAGTGTCTAAACCTCTATGAAATAATATATAAAGAGCCCCATACATTGTCTTCTATTTTAGGGTTCTCTAGAGAAACAGAAGATTGATTGATAAATCGATAGATATAGGTAGGTTTATTATAAGGAATTGGCTCATGTGATTACAGAGGCGGAGAAGTCCCAAGATCTGCAGTTGCCAAGCTGGACACCCAGGAAGGCCAATAGTGTGAGTTCTAGCCTGAAAGCAAGCAGGTTTGAGACTCAAGAAGTACTGACGTTTTGATTTAAGTCCAAAGGTAGGAAAAGAATGATGTCCCAGCCCACACAATCAGGCAGGAGATCCTACTTACTCAACCATTTTTTATTTTTAAAAATTTTTTATTGGAGTAGAGTTGATTTACAATGTTGTGTTAGTTTCAATGTACAGCAAAGTGACTGTGATACATATACTTACATTCCCTCTTTGTTATATTCTTTAACCACATAAGCCATTACAGAGTATTGGGTGGAGTTCTCTGTGCTGTCTTTTTGTTCTGTTCAGGCCTCCAATTGATTGGATGTGGCCCATCCACATTAGGGAGCACAATCTGCTTTATTCAGTCTTTGACTCAAATGTTAATCTCATTCACCCTCGTGGACACAGAAGAGTTTGAGCGAATGTCTAGGCATCTTGTGGCCCAGTCCAGTTGACACATAAAATTAACCATCATACCTGTCATAGTGTAAATTTTCCATGTGTGTGAATTCCTTTTTTTTTTTTTTACAGAAAATACAGTTTCAGATATGTTGCTTTCTCCTGTCCCCTCTTGAGTAGAGTCTCTGCTCTCTTTTCTCACTGTCCCTCCCATCTTCCCTCTCTCTTTCCCTCCCTCTTTGTCTCTCCCCTGACCCTTTGCCTTTTTCCTGTCTCCTTCTGACTTTCTTCCTCTGTCTCCAGGCTGGTTCGCTCAGGATTTAACCCAGGAAAAAAAGTGAATTCCTCTGGCACTCTTTCCACCTGTGTCTTTTGGGAATTCAAGAAGCATACCCAGCAGGATTAAAGCAAGTTGGGAGAAGAGTCTGCTCCCCACTTTGGCCAGAGTCTAGCACCCTAGTAGCAAGGGCCAGGTCTCTCTGTGCTGGGGAGAAAGGCAGGGAAGGAGAGAAGTGAGGCCTCTGACATAAATACTGTGCAGTGTGTTTTTATTGCTGCATAATCCATGCTTGTGCCACTTGTTCGCATACCGCCAGTTAATGGAAACCTCATGTTCTCCTGCTCTGGCCCATCTTGTGGTTAACTCTTGCAGGGCTGGGGTATGCACCCAGGCCAAAGGAAATCCTTTCCAGAAGGAAGCCGGGTTATCAGACAGGCAGGCGCTGCCTCACATGTTGAAGGAAGTCACCATGGAGTGCGGTTAATGATAAAGGCAGGAATGTGGCAGGCAGGCACTCGTCTGGACCTGACTGTGGAGCTGCTGGTGAAATTCCACAGGACGTTTGGTGCACTCATCGCTGGGAACCTCGGCTACCTTGGGATTCATGCAACTGGCTGCTCGTGGCGTGCTGCTCACTCTCTTGGAGCTTTGATTCATGTGGGAGAAAGGTCTGAGGAGTCCACACACACCAGGCATAAAACAAATGCATGGGAGGAGGGCTGTGTGTTGCAACACAGCATGTGCTGTGAGTTTGTGCAAAGGCTGTGGTGTCTCTCTTTCCAAGGAGAAAGCCTCTAACTCCGCCTGGGTTGCCAGGAACAGCATCCAGAGAAGGGGATATTTGATCCTGAAGGTCTTGATGAACAAAAGAGATGTTTTTAAAATCAGGCAAGTAAGGGGAGAGGCCAATTCTGTGCCTCCGATGCCAAGAAAGCAATGTGTAGAGGGTCTAGAGTTCTCTCCTTATGCAGAGGAGGAGGCAGGGCTTGAGACGTGGTTAAAGGCGCCATACTGCCTTCCGATTCCAGCCTTCTTGATAGCTTGTGACCCAGTTTTATAACCTCTGCTTTTGTTTCCTCTCGGTAAACTGGGGGCCAAAATAGTGTCTTCTCAGAGACTGCTCTGCAGTGTATCTGATGAAACACTTCCAGCACTTAGCCCAGTTCCTGGCATGTTAAAGGCGTGAACTCACACTGACTATCATTAGCATCAGGGAACAAAGGACAGTTTGGAATGGTCGGAACACATGTTTGGGGACCATGGATAGACCCACGGTTAGTCTGGGGCCAGATGGTGGAGGAACTGAAGGCTGTACTAGGGATTTGGACTTGATCTGGTGTGTCATGGGAAATCACTGGAGGTTAATTCATTCAAATACCATCCTCCAGTTGGTTTCCCTTCCTGGAAGATCCTTTCCAGGAAGTCTTTTTTGACTTTCTCGTCAGGGATCCAAATAGTCCTGGGTCACTAATACCCATCACCTACCGTAGAGAAGCATCGGCCACCATAGCTCAGAGCACACTTGCCACACTGTGTCCTCAGACCTTGTTCTGACACTTTAGCTCCAGGGCACAGATTCAATCAAGAGACCTCATCTGAGTTTTCCTTCTGGTCATTGGTGCTGAATGTCTGTGATTTGCAAAACAAGGACAAGGAACTGGGTCTGACTCTCTCCAAAGTTCTAGGCCCCAAAGAAAAGTTTGTAAAACAATGTCTCCTTTGTCCTAGTTAGGATGAGTTGCTTGGCAGGTGAAAAACCCTGGAAATTTGCCACAAAGTGGCCATGTGGCCTGCAAGTAACACTGATGGGATTTGAGCAGCAGTCACCAATGGCGGCTGCTGGCCTGTTTGTGGGGTTATCAGGGTAATGGATCCTGGCATTCTCCTCGCACCATCTTTACAAACGTCACTTTCACTTTATTGTACATTAACCCCAATCTCTTCACAAGCTCCAAAATAAAACTTCTTTGCAAACAACTGAAGTCCATCTGCTGCACTATTAAAAATACCCTAGTATGAAAATACTTAAGCATTAGAGAAATCCATGATCAGAGATATTACGGTGGATCCACCTGAACATGCCTGCCTTTGATTGGGAGAGATCAGTCTTTCTTTCTCCCTTAGGTGGGAGATTTATTACCAACCCCCACTCCCATGGTAACAAAAGAACCCCAAATTCCCAAGAGTGATCAAATTTCAAATATTGCAGGCTATTATCCAGGGTGGCTCAGACAGTAAAAAATCTGTCTGCAATTCAGGAGAGCTGGGTTGAATCCCTGGGTCAGGAAGATCCCCTGGAGAAGGCAATGGCTACCCACTCCCATATTCTTGCTTGGAGAATTCCATGGACAGAGGAGCCTGGTGGGCTACAGTCCATGGGGTGGCAAAGAGTTGGACATGACTGAGCGACTAACACAAGTGTCCTTATAAGCCCATATATGAATGGAACTCAGCTTATCAGCTGCTGATAGGTTGATTATCTAGTTGGGAATGAATGAATGACCCAATGAGTGATTACCAGATAAATGTTCTATATCCCCATTTAGTGCATGTGGATTTTATTCACCTCTGTTTCTATCCCTTGATCAATTACCCTCCTTTGAGAGAAATAACATTTTCCCGCGTTATTGCTAACAGTCTCTAGGTTGGGTCTCACTTCCTCCTCTAAAAGAGCAACCCCCAGCAGCGAGTATTTAAATTAATCCACCTCAGCTGCCATACCGTGCAGCCCATCTATCACAGCAATTTGTGCAAATGCCACTCTAGTATCCAGCTCTATGTATCATGTATTTTGAGATTGCACAGTTCCTGAGGCCTTTGTAAAGCAAACCTTTCATGAATAAATCAGGAAATACCCTGATGCATGCTTTATGTAGAGGAAGATATTCTATTTAGGTCACGCAGGGAAGTTCTGCCAAGTTTGCTAAAATGAACAAATCCCCTGAGTGCAGTCTACCTCTGCACAATTCCGAAACACAAGCAAGTCTCTCCCAGGCCCCCGCGGCCATGCTCTGTCAACACTGAGGACTCCGGGTCTATAAAGTATTAGTTTGATCACCTGAGGCTCTAAACACTTTCAAGTCAGGAGCCAGGCTAGGGGTTCTGCTAGTCCATGGGAAGAACTTTGCAAATGGAAAATTTGTCCACTGCGGTGCCTGGGGCAATGGGGCTTCTGCAAGCGAGGGAGGAAGGAACTAGAAAAATTACAGTGAGCTTGTTGTCCCGGCTTGTTTTTTGAATCCACTTAAGAAAGTCCCTGACTTTGTTTGAGTCCAAAGCATTTCAGTGGACTCTTTTGAGCCTCCCAGAACAGAGGATGTGGCCTAGTGAGCCCTCCCCTTTAGCAATGGAAATACTCCCGATAAGAATAAGGATTTCCAGATTTGCAGCCAACTTCGAATTAGAGAGGGTTATCTGGGGTAGAAGAATGCAGAACAAAATGTTGACTGATTCCCTTTCCTTTGAACAAGGGCAGCCAGGCCCAGCCCCTTTTGCCCAGAAAAAACTGTATGAGATTAGAAGACCCAGTCTGAAGAGACAGATGGAGCATTGACTTGGATTCTGGCGGTGAGAATGTGGAGAAGTCACAACGTCATTAAGAAGGTTGTTTGGATGGGGTCTGGTGTTTGCTTTCTAGGTTCCCATATTTATCTTGGACGGGGCAGTTTTACACCAGTCAGCCACTTAGGGACTGATTCCTTCTAACAAAAGTCAAAGGAAAGAAATTCAAAACAAGTTAACATTGTGGTTAGCAGCATATCAGCCCATACCCTGATATACTGTAGAGTCAAAAGATAATCCAAAGGTTACCTGTGAGTAGATTCAGGACAGAGAGACTTAGTTCTTATTGATGTCCCTAATTTGAGAAGTTGCCTTTTCTGCCGCGTTGCCCCTTTGGTTATGCTGAATATTGAAAGACCATATCCTCTCTCTTTCCAGTACTCCCTTCCAAACATCTGTCTTTGGTTGAAGCTTTTTTCCTGATATTTGATGACGCCAGTTTTAGACACTTGGACTATGCTGAGGGCACGCTTTAAGGGTCTCAAATCTCTTTAGCGTCCATTGCCATTCATTGCCAAGGTCAAAAATGTACATTTAGTTGATCACAGTCCTTTATAGCTTGATGTACTAATATTTACCTTCTGAAAGTGTCACTGATTTCCAAGTCCTTAGACATACTACTTTCATCCTGTTAAACCACTCACATGATTGATTGCCAAGTTTGAGTCCAGCCTCATTCCTAACAGTCTGAGTGAACTCAATCACATTTCTTCATAAAATGCTGACTGAAATATATGTTCCCTTATCTTGGGAGAAGGACCATTTGAAAGAATTTGTATCAAAGCACAATGTGAACGATAAGTTGCAATTCAAATAGGAAGTGATTTTGCTGAAGCTTTTTCAAAGAATGAGTCTGGGTTCTCCTTTTGTTTCCTACTGCTTTCTGCAGTGTCTGGCATATAGTTGGAAATCAGTAAGTTTGCCTGTTGCTTGTTGATTGCCTTATAAATGGGAACCTAAGTATGGGGACCAATTCTCTAAGGAAGAGGAAACGGGAAAGGGCTTAGGAGAATGGACTTGCTTTACTTGTTACAAAAGTCATGTAAGCGCAAAAGGTAAAATTTAGAAGATACAAGAAAATAGCAAGAAGAAAATTAGGCAACTTCATATTTGCAACCTGTTAGCATTTTTCTGGGCATGAAGCCTTTGTCTCTCTCTCTGACTTGCACATGCATTTGTGTGTTCTCAAATAACAATACTGTCCCTTTAAGTGCCCACCACTTAGAGCTGGAATTATATTTTCTCAGCAGGCAAAGGAATAGGAGATTAGTTCCCCAGCAAATCTATTAGTTCATTAATTAATAGAAATCTGAGAAATGTCAGTGAGGGCCTGTGAAGCCTCATTCTCTCTTGCTTTTACTCTTTAAGGTAATAAAAGTAATAATAGCTAATATTTATTCAGTGCTTACTATATGCCAGTCATTGGCCTGAGCCCTTTATATACATTAACTTATTTTATCTTCATGACTACCCTAAATGGCAGATGTTACAGGTCCATAATCCCTTACCTATAATTTCACAGTCCAAAAAGCACTGGAAAATGGTTTTTGGACAGGTTCAATATAAAGTCCTTTGGTAGCAAAACCTTATTGGATCTAACATGAGGCTTTTCATGGTCTTTATTAAGCCCACTTATGAACAGTCAAGTTTCATTGAATAAACAAGAGTGTGTTTGATAGAGTGTTCTAGAACCTTCTGAAGGTTTCATGAATGAGACAGTACACACATTTTATTGCTATTGTAAAATATGAAAAATTCTGCATTCCAAATCATAATCCAAAGATTTCAAGTCTATGATTACGAATGGCATTATTATCTTCATGTTACAGATGAAAAAACTGAATCATAGAGGCATTAAGGAACTTGCCCAAACTTCATCAGGATTCCAACCCAGATGACTGGCTTTAAGAGTCTGCATTAAAACTTCACATTTGTTCAGTTTTCAAAAGTTTTACAGTCCTTTCAGCACAATAACTTTATAAGTTATACTTAAGAGATCATATTCTATTTTATAATCAAGACAAGTGTGATTTAGGGAAGTTACGTGACTTGCCCAAGGTCCCATCACTAATGCAGGAGAATCAGGACTCAAGTGCAAGTCTCCTGCCTATAATCCCAGTGCTCTCATTGCTGCCCTGGGATTACTTGAAGAGTCACCAAACTCCAGCCATCACACAGCCTTGCTTTCTCACTTAACACCAGCACGACTACTCAGGCAGGCTGCACAAAATCGCTTCTACTTTTTTCAAGCCACCCATCATCAGAAAATGTGCGAGAAAGCTTAGAACTATCAGAAGTAGCTATCCACAAGTCAACCCCAAGTCAGAAGCCTGAGTTGCTCCCCTGGGCCCTAGGGGCTTCTGGCAGCCAGAGTTCACTCTCTGCTCCTGACTTCTGGTGGTCCATCCCATGCACAGCATTGGGCCAGAGAGCATGCCCCTACAGCTGCTGGGCCTCTATGCGAGGTGCCTGCACTGGGACTGATTATGGAGGGATGGAGGAGACCTCAAATGCTGGCAATTGCATGATAGAGGTGTCAGCCAAACTCCTTATAGACAAGTCTGGAAGGAGGGGTGTGCCACGGGGCACCCAGGTGTTTCCCATGCTGGGACTCCCCTGTTGCCCCACAGATCTTCCAAGATCCCCCCAGATCTGGCTTCCTCTGGAAAGTGAGATCTCAGCCACAGCATCTCTAGCCAGATTCCACTGTTCTCTGAGCCTCCCCTTTACTCAGCACATCACAGCCCATCTTCTCTCTGCTCCTCCATCAGGGGCCACACTTGCTCCCCCTACACGCCCAAAGTCTCATGGTGCACCCTGTGGGTTCCAGCTGCACCCTGTTTGCCCTCATGGGGAACTCCACATCCCACCCACGGGGACCAGGCACTCCAGAAATCTGAGTGGATTCTCAAGCTAACAGGCCATCACTTTAGAACAAGGTTAACATAGTAATGAAGAGGGCGCAAGAACATAAGGCCAGAGATCTGAGATGTAGTTCTGGCTTTGTGGCTTTGGACAAGTACCTGATCCTCTCTGGGGACATGTACCCGTCATACAAATTACACACGAATATTGTTTGGATCCAGAAGAAGTTGAATGTAAAAAAGTCCAGATTTACAATGGTATTTGCCTCATGCTCTAAGACAGAGAGAAAGCTGATCAGGTCCAGATCCTTGATGATGACATATCTTGATGTTCTGTTGACACCTCGATAGTAAATCTTTGGCTGAGGTCATGCTGTTCCTTCTGCTTGGGTTGCTCTACTCAAGTAGGGCAGAGACAGATGACCCTCCATATAAGCTTAGGACATTGCAGTCTGCCTTTTGGCAAAAGTTTTTTTTGCGTCTGTTTGGCTCCATTTCGCCTTGGTTTTGGCTCCTAACTTCAGCTTTATCTCTAACCTAGGCCATATTTGCAGCCAGTGAGGGGTGCAGCACCTCTGATCTTGACCTCTATGCTCTGTTTTTGTGCCGTGGCTTCCTCTTACCCTCTGTCTATTCATTCATGTTTGGATCTTCAAGGTAATGAAAGGACTTTTTGCCCTGGGCTACAGAACTCAACCCAGGAGCTGCCCACTTGGCTGAAGCCCCCCAGAGTCAAGAGCGAGTAACTGTTTCAAAGGGTTTACCTATACGCCCCCAGCACTTCAGAAGTTTATCTCCTCCCTCCCATCTCAATTTCCCCAGCGGGGTGAGGCCCTGCATCCCTGCAGACTCCTTCCTGGTGGGATCCTAGAAAGAGACTCAGGCTCACTACCAGCTCTGCTCCTTTTGTGGAATATCTGGGCTATCTCCCGCTCTGAGGTGCCAATGGCTGTCTACAAACTCACTGTGGGCAGGATTCATGGGGCCAGGGTAAGAGAGGAGATGAGGATGTTGAGGGAGCTATTAGCAGTGCCTTACAGATTTCTACAACTACCATATCTCTCTCCCAGTACTAACAACATTGAACCCTAGTCTTTTGCTTTCATGCCTCCTTCTTTCATTAGACTTTGAACACCTCGAAGGTCAGCACTGCTCCTCTGAGTTACCTGCTTCTAATTCCCCTTGCTTTTGTTTGTATCTCGGGGGGCTTGCTGATTGAATGAATTCCAGATAAATGAACAAGTGAGGGAATGGATGAGCCATTCAAGAGATATGCATGGAAATAAATGGTATATCAGATCTATTCAACCAAGACCTGCTGGAGATGGTTGACAGAATTATCAGAGCAATTTCATGAAGTTGGGATGTTCTGTCCCTAAATTAGATAAATGGCTTAATTTGAGCAAATTAAAGCGGGAACACATGAGCTATGTTAAGATATAAAGCTGGACTTGCACTACAGCACTGCCTGAAGTCAGAAGTCATCTGGTTGCACACGGCATCACCTGGGGCTTTTGAAGACAATTACTGGACCTGACTTCAGATTGAGTCTAAATCGGAGGCTAGGGTTCAGGCACTGGCATTTTTAAAAGCTCCAGAGGTCATTTTCCTGGGTAATCATGGTTGAGAACCACAGTCTGGGGGACAGCTAATCACTGGGATTGTCTAAAATCCAATTCACTCCCTGCCAGCTGTGTACCTCAACTTCCTCATCTGCAAAAGAGGATCATGATATCTACCTTCAGAATTTTTAATGAAGATAAAATAATATATGCCTTTGTGATAAGATAAATACTCTGTGTACTAGTGCTCGCTACTATTTCCCATAGCATTATCATTTTTATTACTTGGTGTCAATACCTTAGAATGCCTGAGTAGAAGATCTATTTACTTTAGTTATCTAGGGCTTCTCAGGTGGTTCAGATGGTAGAGAATCTGCCTGCAATGTGGGAGACCCTAGTTTGATCCCTGGGTCTAAAAGATTCCCTGGAGAAGGGAATAGCAACCCACTCCAGTATTCTTGCCTGGAGAACAACATGGATGATTCAGCTCATGTCCAAAATGTGTTAGGAAGTGTACAAAGTACAACCCAAAAAGGAACTGGACCAGATTCTGAGCTAAGGATGCCCTGTGTACTGAAATACCTACTGTGTGTAAAGTTCTTGACATTTATTATCTCGTTAAATACTACCACTCATCAGGTGGCTCAGATGGTAAAGCATCTGCCTGCAATGCAGAAGACCTGGGTTTGATCCCTGGGTTGGGAAGATCCCCTGGAGAAGGAAATGGCAACCCACTCCAGTACTGTTGCCTGGAAAATTCCATGGATGGAGGAGCCTGGTAGGCTACAGTCCATGGGGTCGCAAAGAGTTGGACACAACTTTCACTTTTACTTTCTTTCATCTCATGAAGGGGTTATGACATGTTTACAGATGAGAAAACTGAGGCTTGTGTAGGTTATCTCCAAAGTCTTCCCGCTCCAGTGTAGAAGAGCCTGGTTTGGACTGGGGACCCCTGGCTTCCAGGTCTGTGCTCCTTCTACTGTGCTATCACTGAGCACCTAGGATGTACGTTTTGGGCAGAGCCTCCCTTCTCTCAAGCACTTTACAGGTTAGACAAAGAACTGATTTGTGCTGAGTGGGGAGAAATCAGAGAAGGATTTTTGAAGGGAGCGAAAATTCATTTGAGACTGGGAGGATAAAAAGGATTTCGCCAGGTGGGAAATGAGAGCCTAAGGACATTCCTGGTGGGGAAGCCAATAGGAGTAAAACCAAAAGGATGAGGGCATAAGCGGATGATTGGGGGTGGTTGCACGTTGTACACTTGGCCACAGTAGCTTTCTTCCTCACCTCTCACATGACTTTCTTAAGAGGGACTTCCTTTCTCTGAAGGACTCCTGGAGGGACTGGAAAGTAGTCTTAGTAACATCTTCCTCTCCAAGTGTCTTCTTATCAACAGCAAAAAAATCTCGTATGCATTCTGAGCTACCGTTCTGATGTCTGTGGGAGCTTCACATGTCAGTCAAATGCCAAATATGCACAGGGCATTCCAGCATGAACAAGGGCACTGGGTCTCTCCCATGCATGTCAGACACAGCATGTGTGCATGTCTTTGTGCATGCAAAAGCATGCGTGCACGTGCACACACACAGCAGTGAGAAAGGAGACTGAAGAATTCTGTTGGGCCCAGTTCTTGCGCTTCAGACACTACTGAGGATGCTTGGTTCATTTTTCTTTGCTAACCAGACTCCAAGTCCCATCCGCTCCTTGCAAAGCATCAAGGTCAATGCCAATTTCCCCTCATCCATGTCTGTGGCTGAGCTGTCTGTGGTGGAAGAAATGAATGTTCTCCATAGTTTGCAGCTCCGGGCTGGCCACTTCCAGCCTGCTGACTAAATGCAACTGTGCTATATCACAGCCAAGCAAAAAGTACGCTGCTGGGGTTAGGGTCCTTTGCCTGGCAAGGCCACAGAAGGGGCGAGCCTCCTTAGGAGGAGGCTATTCCATCATCCAAGGTCTGCCTGAGCCTGTTGAGAACTGACGCTTGGGAAGAAAAAAAGCCTAATGTATGTAATATGAACTCTGTGGCTTCCTCTGGTTCCTGGCATAGCTGAGGCCATCACATTTCAGGTCTCCGGCTCTACAGAAACAAGAGGACCATGTGTGTTAAAAGCATGCAGTTCCAGAGATTAGATCAGAACTCCGACTGGAGAACAAGGTTAATCATGGGTTCATCACTTGATGACCTCTGCAGGTAAGGCTGCAACCCCATGAGTTTCGAGTAAGCAGAGACCAGATGCAGAAGGCGCCCCATAGGCTCAGAATGCCTGGATTCCAAGGGGAGGGGGCTCCAACCTCCAAGCTGATGCCTGCAAGAGAATGGGGGTGGGGTGGGGAATGTTACAGGAAGTGAGGGTTTATAAATTCCATCTCCATAGAAGGTCTGGTCGGTCCCATTTAGCAAGGGGAAGGAGAAAGGAGCTCTTGGCAAGCTGGCTTGGGGGCTTGCTATTGCAGGAAAGAAACCTGGTGTCCCCTTTTTGGCTGAAAGACTCCAGCTCCACTCATAAGGGCACAGAGAAACACAATCTTGGAATGCAGGGTTAAGAGGCTCACCATCAAGGATCAAGGTAGAAAAATGCTTCCGGAAGCTGGCCTGGTGGAGGTGAAAATGAACTCTGCTGCTTTGTTTACAATTATCCAAGGGTCACATGACTCTCATTAAATACCAGAGCACAGCCCAAGTTTAACCCAGTCCTTTCTGGGGCATCAGTTCAGTTCAGTTCAATCACTCAGTCTTATCCAACTCTTCGCGACCCCGTGAATCGCAGCACGCCAGGCCTCCCTGTCCATCACCAACTCCCGGAGTCTACCCAAACCCATGTCCATCGAGTCGGTGATGCCATCCAGTCATCTCATCCTCCGTTGTCCCCTTCTCCTCCTGCCCCCAGTCCCTCCCAGCATCAGGGTCTTTTCCAATGAGTCCACTCTTTGCATGAGGTGGGCAAAGTACTGGAGTTTCAGCTTCAGCATCAGTCCTTCCAATGAACACCCAGGACTGATCTCCTTTAGGATGGACTGGTTGGATCTTGCAGTCCAAGGGACTCTCAAGAGTCTTCTCCAGCACCACAGTTCAAAAGCATCAATTTTTCGGCACTCAGCTTTCTTCACAGTCCAACTCTCACATCCATACATGACCACTGGAAAAACCATAGCCTTGACTAGACGGACCTTTGTTGGCAAAGTAACGTCTCTGCTTTTAAATATGCTCTCCAGGTTAGTCATAACTTTCCTTCCAAGGAGTAAGCGTCTTTTAATTTCATGGCTGCAATCACCATCTGCAGTGATTTTGGAGCCCCCAAAAATAAAGTCATCCACTATTTCCACTGTTTCCCCATCTATTTCCCATGAAGTGATGGGACCAGATGCCATGATCTTAGTTTCTGAATGTTGAGCTTTAAGCCAACTTTTTCACTCTCCTCCTTCACTTTCATCAAGAGGTTTTTTAGTTCCTCTTCACTTTCTGCCATAAGGGTGGTATTGTCTGCATATCT